TACTCACAGTTTAGAATTTAAAATAAATAAATAAATAAATAAATAAATAAATAAATAAAATAAAAAGCCCTCACATGCCAAATCCACACCCCAAAGGGAAGAAGCTACACAGTTTCTCTGTGTAGGAATGATCTGTATCAACAAATCACACATTCTGTGTGCAGAAGAATTATGTTTGCTTCAAGCAGTTGGTCAAAGAAAATAGAAGACTTCAACTCTGCTGCCTAAACATGGGTGATAGTCCCAACTGAGATGTTCAAAGCTATTAAAAAACAATAAATCCATGTGAAACTGTCAGGTATGGGCCACCAATGGCCCAACAGAATCTCATCTGAAAGCCAGCAGGACATTAGCTAAGACATCTCACAATATCCCATGGCATTTAACAGTACCAGTTAATTATGCTTAGGCACATGAATCAAGCTCTTAGTGACTGCTGTCCCACCCTTCCCCGTTCTAGAAGTACTAATTAATGCTTTAAATTTTATAGACAGAGAAGAAAAAATAAGCTATCTTGCTTGGTGATGTACAGTAACTTCAGTTCAGAGCTAGACAGGTGGCAGGAAGCCTCACTGGCCAGAGAGAAAGCACGAGGGAAGAATTGTGAAACTTTTAGGATAACCTAAGCAGAGAATGCAGGTAACATGGAGGTTCACCTACAAGGAGCAGCAGAAACAGGAGAAAGGCCAAACGAAGGGGAAGAAAGCAGTAGCACAAGAACTGCTGATGGAGATGATGGAGAATCAAGCAGGGCAAAAGGCAACATTGCAATGAACAGGTTAGGAGAATATCCAAGTGTCAAGGTAAGAGTAAAGCACTTAAACCAAAATGAACAATTAATCACTAGTGCTCACAGCAAGTCATCTGGCTAACGTAACAACAGCATCTCAACACTTCTCTGGGCCTGCAAGGACCCTCACTGCACCAGGCAGCAGCAGTTCTCTCTCACCAAAATATTCACTGTCAGACATCAGGGAATGGAACAGAGGTAAATGAGCTTCTTCTAAGAATCAGAAAGGGAACATTCCCCTGCTAAACTTACTCATGCTAATGGCTGAGATATTTTTTTACATCATAAGAGTTTCAGTTCTTCAGTGACATACTTTAAAAACTGAATCCTCCAAACTACTCCACAAGTAAATGTTAATGGTCCAATCTTGTCTTCCATTGTGCAGCATATTCACTAAAACCCTTGGAAAACAATTTTCTGAAACTTTGCATTCACAACTTCGAAGTGTTTAATGCAGCATAATGAAAACAAAACCGTAAAAATTTTGCATGAAGCAGGTAATTAGTACCCATCCATACCTGTAAAGGAAAACCACCCCACCAAACAATAACCACATAAAATATATCAGATGAAACTCCAAAGTATACTATAGCAAATCTACAGAAAGGGACTTCAAGAAGTCTGAAAATACACTTCACTTGGAGGTGTTGGTGGAGGAGAGGCTGGACATGAGCCAATCTGGGCTGTATCACAAGCAGTTTGACCAGCAGGGTGAGGGAGGGGATTCTGCCACTCTACTCCACTCTCATGTGACCCCACATGCCCTGGAGTCTTGGCTGGAAAAGCCCCTCCACCTCAAACCATTTACAACTAAAGAATCACAGCTGTCCATATAGCAAGAGGGTTTGATTACCTTTTCATTCCCCATAGTGTGACTTTAACCTTTGAAGACTCTTTTAAGGTGGTTTTCTGTTTGATTTTTGTCCTTTTTAAATTTTTAAGCTCCATGCACTTCAAAACAGCAACTGGCCAGGGCTTCAGGGGGAAAAATTCAAGACCTTTGCAGTCTCTAAGACCCTCATAAGAAAAACCTCAATGCATACAAAGCAGTTTTTTGTGCAGTGCAAACAGGATTAAAAATAACTACGTGATATAAATACAGAAATATTTTGTATTCACTAGCCACAATTAAAAACCTTTCTGTATACCTTTTTAGATAAAATAAAATTCAATAGTTTATTTAACCATCACTTCAACTAATGTTTGCAATGGTAGTATTATAGTCTTGGAAAAATCTAGGTTTTTTTAGAAGACATGATTTATTTTTCATAAATGAAATTAATATAAAAATTATTGGTTTGAAACCTTACACAAACACCTTCCAATTCAGAGTATGATGTAGGAAAAAAAGCAGAGACCTACATACTAAGTAGAACTTTTAACTGTGGAAATTGTTAATTCCAGTTAGAGAAATTCCCAATTCAAATTCATTACCAGAATTCACATCAACTGGAAAACAAATCTACTTCTCCGGTGCATTCAGAACGCAGTGCAGACCATGTAAGATGTGAAAAAAAGCCACAGCCACCTGACTGCATGTAAGCACAGCAAGAAAGCCTGGTCAGCACCAGTCGGGCAGTCATGAGCAACAGGAAGAATTGGTTCTTGTAGAGAACATTGGCTGATGTACTATAAACACAAGTAAGGAGCACTACTTTCAAATGCCTTGGAAATGGACCTCAATGACTCAGAAATGAACAAATGAACACAGATCTTTCTGATACAGCAACACATCTAAAGAGCCTAAATGTCCTCAGATACTCCTACCATACAGAGAGCTCAAATGGATGACCACATAAATGACAAAGCGCTCTGACAAAGGTGGCAGGTCCTTCATCCAGGGAGAATTATCTAGCTCCAACTCACACAGACAGCCCTACAGACACCAGTGACACTAAAATTGTCTCACTCAATAGCTGGTACAGCACCTCCATAGTCAACTGGTCAATATTTCAACAAAATTGTTTTGTAAACATAAATCGTGCTTTCAACTTACATTTGGTTAAGTTTCTTCTTGCTAGAACTGCAAAGTACACAAAACAATTTTGTTCAAAAAAAATCTATGTTTGAAAGAGAACATTTTCTATAAAACTGTTGACATTAAAAAGCTTTCCAAAGTACATTCTTCATTTTTCACTCCCACCTTCACACTTAGAAGTGAAATTAAAAACTTCTGAAATGCCCCGCCAAAGAAAACATGCTCATTTTGCTTAAAACCTTAAAAAAGTACTCAATCCTTTGCAGTGCTGACAGCAGTAAATCAGGTGAGTCCTAAGCTTTTGGAGAGCCCAGGCGCATTTTCAGGATCCACGCATCTACTTGATGCACATGATTTTTTCACTGCTATCACTAGCGCTGTTTTGTACTTTCATTTAGGAAACTCTTCAATACTACTGAGAAATCCTTATCACAGACAGATTATTAACAATTTTAGTCCTTCTATTCACTCATCAGACTACTGTCCCTAACCTTCTAACCTATGAATTCTTTTTCAAGTTTAAAACAAAAATAAAAATTCCGTGTTCTTTCAGGTTAAAGACACCAGCATATGCTTAAACAGAGCAATCAGTGTTTTGACAAACTGAAACAAATATACCTGTACCAATCTGCAAATAAATTTTTTTAAAATATTTACAGCACTGAGTTTAGAAATCTTTCCTCCTATGTTTATGTTAAATAAATACAACCTTACCATATTATATAAAATTATCCTCTATAGTAATTATTTTTGTAGTATCACTACTGAATGGCTGAAGTCTTCATGCAGTATTTCCTATTAACAATTTTACTGCAAATATTTGATGAAAAATATTGCTACTATTCCTCCTGTTCTATTCCAAAAAGATACAAAACTGAATATATTCACTTACAATGAGCGTTTTTTAAAAGCACAGCACAGTGACAATGGATATAGCACGTTGGGTTTAAAGACCATATGTTACAATTTTGAAAGATAATCTGAAGCAGATACAGTTACTACCACTGCTGCCAGCAGGCATTCTCAATAAACTACCTGAAATAATGATGTTTAGATGATCTTTGAGATCCCTTTCAACCAAAACTGTTCTATGTTCCTCCTTTCTATTCAACAAGTTCTTGATTATTTTTTCACCTCTAAATTTTTTGCCCCTGTAAGCCCAGAACTTCCTTTACAAAACATTATTAACACACTTGAAGACATACATGAAAGTACACACATGTTCATTTCTGTACACTTAAATATGCCATCTGCATATTTCTGTAGGAGAACACTACCTGTAACCTGTTATTAAAAGACACCAAGAAATAAATGCCACAACATACTTACAAAAATACTCATGCAATACCCTCATCTAGAAACATCAATTACATTATCTGTCTCTGACACCATTAGCTCTAAGTCCAACAAATGTACTAAGCAGGCAAGGGATTTAATGAAATAAAACCTGACTTCCTGGGAGGATCACCTGTGGTTCCAACTCTAACACTTCTGATCAAATACATGCTGTCCTCCTGCTGCTGAGCAACAGGTTTTTCTGAATCTTTATCAAACATGCTCCAAAGGAGGGAAGGCATAATAATACTGTGGGAACTATTTAAATGAGTAGGAGACCAACTGATTGTGGTGAAAGGGAAGATGTGAAGAAATTGTCTTTAAAACATAATATAAATTTATGGGGTTTACATTTAGGTCACAGTAAAACAAACTCACAACAATATTTTTCAATAAACAACAAGACAATAAGCTTGTCTACTAATCATCATTAATAAGCCCTATGAGCCATAAAAAAAAAAAAAGAAAAGAAAAAACAAGCCCACAGTCCTGCACTGCTACAGGTTTCCACAAATATTTTCACTTCTGTTCCCCATTTAAAGTTGAGACAGCAAGGTACAAGTATTACAGAATAAACACCTTCCAGTGGCTATCTCATAGGAGTTATGGACCAAAACAGACATCAAAAAAAACCAGCCCTCTTACCAGGGAAAGTTCTCAGGCTCTCTACCCATTGTCTAACAAATCTAAGTACTGACTGCTTCCTGCTCCTTTCAGTTCCAGGTTGGAGAAAGCATAGTTTGGCTTCCCTTCCTCTACAAGAAAAATTTCTTGCTTACTGATCCTCCTAAATTAACCCAAACATTTAACTTGAAATCAAATACATTACATTTCTTTAAAATAGCTGCCTTAATCTCTCATTCCTGGGTTTACTTCACATTCTTTGGGAAATCTTACCTAATTTTGGCAGGGAATAGGGCACTTTAAAATAATCCTCATAAAACTCAATGAGTCTCCTTGTAATATTTAGAGCATAGTCCCCCGATCCTCTTCGGATTGCATCAGGCCTTGCATATAACCGTACCTGTTAAAAAACAAAGCAAAAGTCCAATTTCAGCATCTGCCTTTTAAACCTATCCTACCTGCAGAGGTCAATGAATTACTCAAAGGTTGCTGTGAGGTGGCAGGATTATTCCCTTAAAGCCAAATATCGTTGTCATACATTTGTCAAATCATATCATAATTGAAAACCAGAACTCCCACAATTAATGTTTCAAAGTTCAGAAGTCACAATCTCCTACTTACTTGTGTTGCCAAATAAAAATTTTGCACTCCTTGTATCAAACTAAATATTCAAAGAAAATACATGTGTTTGCTAGAGATATGATGGAAGAGTGGATTAGTATAATGGTTCTCTGCCTACACTGAATGTAGGCAGGATGCAGTGACTCAGTAGGAGAGAAGTTCATGGTTTGTTAGAGGCACATTATATCAAGCCCTGAAAATATTAGTAGACTGTGAAGAAAAAAAATAATCATTCTCTTTTCTTTTCTCCAGCAGTGACACCGTTACCCTTTATGAGCAATGGGAAGACTGCAAAAACTACTATTTCTAAGCTCATTCATGTACACAAACAATTAACATTCCTGAAACCTCCATGACTGCTTCAGGCCTCTGTTTTCAGAAAGCAGTAAATTAAAGCTTTTTATATAAGCTACAGACTGCTCTGTTCAGTATAACACAGCTCACACATTTCAATAGCTGGAGTGACCCAAGTGAACAGAACTCACCTTCACACTTCAGCATCCAAGTGTGGCCCTGAGGTAGCAGAAAGCACTGCTGGGTTGTTACCTCTTCCCTGTCCTTACAGTCTGGAGCATTTCCTTTGTGCAAAGGTGACATAGAGCCTATAACTGCTTATCAAGAAGGGGACAGAAAGGGGAACCATTTTTTGTTCTCCCTCCTCGTACCCCGCCTGATGGAAGCAGCGTGCGCTTTGTCTCTAGTGACTGTGGCAGAAGGTCTCTCCCCGCAGTACATAATGACCTGACGTAAATGGGACTCTACTAAATGTCAATCCTAATAATAATATCTGACTCGCCAGTACTTTCTGTGGTAGGATTAAATCCCAGCCAGGGTTCTGAGGAAAGCAGTAGTGCAGAAATCAGAAAATATCAACACAAACATGAAGGAGAAATATCGGCTTTGGAATGTTTCTAAATGCTCTATATTCTGGATTAAGAAAAGCCAATGGGATTTTTGGCGTCAGTGAAAGTATTACCAAGTATTGCTTCACTGCTCTTTTCCTGAACAAGTTCAGTTAATAATCCCTATCTGAAAGCACACAGATCATTATCTGAACTCTCCCAGATCACTATTTTTATTTATTGTTCCCTTTCAAAGTTAACAGTGACATGTACATTAAATATCCCCTTATCTACTAAACTAAATACAGGTTTTAAAAAAATAGGTATTAACCACAGAGTTTATGGAAGGATGTTAAGAATTACAATTAGATTTGTGATGAACACTGTTTTGTATCATTAAACCTTTATACACAATTTTGCATAATTGCTTTACTGGCACAGTTGACTGTATCAGCAAATTAGGGAAAAAAAGTCAGTCAACCAAATATGCAAGAAAATCATTCAATCTGACAGTGGCCAAATCTGTCCATAATAAGAAAGAGGACAACAGAAGGGAAGAAATAATAGGCAGAGAGAAGAAAAATCAAGGTTCAACTTATTGCACTAAAATGAATGTCTCTTGGCAAATACAGAAAAGGCATTTAATGGTGCCTGAGATGGAGCCAAGGTATGAAAGCTACGATGCTGCAAACTCTAATTTGTCTCCTGCCTAACACTGAATGTAGTTTTGTTTTGCCTGTAAAGTTTCCCTGTGTACCTCTCTGCCTGCCCAGAACAGCTCTGGACTGCCAGGCCTCCATGGCTCACACCAAGGTCACCCCTAAGCTGAACAATTCAGAAACTACCCATGCCTCTGCCCAGGTCTCTCAGGGGCTTTCAGGCAAGAGATATTGTCAAAGCAATCGACCATCTTCGAACACTGGGTCTTGCTTCTGCCGTTCACCCAGCAACCACCCAGCATGAAATGCGTGGAGAACCTTAGACACACCACTCCAGCCCTACCCCGGGCTCAGACATTCCCTCTCGGTTAGCAGAGGGCTACGGCAGGGGACAGTCTGGGACACTCTGCCCATCTGGCTGGCTGCTTTGGGTGACACATTCTGAGGTGCCATTCACAACAAGAGGAGTTTGGTCCAGAGTTCAGTCTAAAGGCCGGCACCTCTAAGTTTGAAACTGAAGCCCCACACTTTCACACACTGATGTTTTTTAATGTGCATGGGTTTATTTTGACCGTATCTTACTTCCAAATCCATCAAATAGGGACTATACTATTTCCTTAGTTTATAAGAAGATTCTCAGTGAAAAGTAACAAATTTTTTGCATTCTGCTCCAAAGAGAAACTTAAATAAATAAAACAGAATGATGACTAAGACAGGAGACTTGTTTAGAATAATTGATTTACTACTTTCATTTCAAAAGCCAGGTAAGTAGTGTTACTTTAAAACTGCATTGGACTGAACAATAATGTCCAATTATTATATACTTTAGTGTTTGATCACTGCACTAAGAATTTGATTTTACAGTAATTTAAGTAAGAGAAAAAACAGAGTTTTCTGCAGGGTCAGGCCTAAATATATAACTAAAAGCAGTACATGTTCTCCCACAAAAGACAACCAGGTTTCCAACCTAAGTGCATAATTCATCATTCACTGCACTGGCACCTACTGCTCTGCAAATACTGTTAATGCTTTTCTTCATAATCTTCACAAGATTAGGTTAGACTATTATTTTCATGTAAGAAAGTGGAGACCAAAGAGAGACTAAGAGTAATTCTGGGTGCCTATCTCGACACCTCTCAATTTCAAGTCTATTTAACAGTTTTACTGCACATACTTAAAGCACTGTTCCCATTGCATCTTACTGCAGTGAACACTTTATAGAAGTTTTGGCCACAGGTGCCTTAGTTTGGGCATTCACGAAATCAGTAATATATGATTAATAACTAAATGAGACTCTGTCAGTTTATGTGATTTACTTGGCATCCCACAGCAACTCTGGTAGCAGAGGCAGGGAGGGAATTCCAAGCAGGCATTCATCCTTATGACCGGTTAACAACCAAGCGTCTTCCATATCTGGGAATTAATGAGGTAGGTTCTGTTTGGACTACAGGTATATTAACAGCACACTGCTGGTGTTCTGATGCAGTATAGTTCCCTGTGTTCCTCAGTGGAAAAATATAAAAATGGCATGAGGAATCATATTTGTAATGACACTGTAATAATACCTATGAATATATTAAGGCTCACATAGCTAACCTAAATCCTGGGGTTTTTTCTTATCTTCTTTATATCTACATTGCAGCCACTACCAATTTAAGTATTAGTAACCTTACTCAAGTTCTTAGGATTATTTTGGCAGCACTATCAGAAAAAATACTAAATATTCCTGAAACCTGTATGAATTCCATGTATTTGTTAGAAGTGATCAACAGCCTACTCCTCTATAGTTAGTCTAAAGTATTTGCTGTATAAAACAGCATACTTTTACAAACAATTTGTAAATACTGCAACATTTTCTCTAGTTTGCCTTAGTATTTCAGCATTTGCTACATAAAATAAGTCGAAGAAATTTTAAAAATATTTGGAATACCAGGTTGCCAGCACAGATAAATGTGGCTTCTAAATTAGAGCTGTTTCCCACAGAGAGTCATGATATATGCTAAGAAATGTGCAACATACTTAAAACAAATCTCATCTAACTGAAGGTTATTAACTACAGAACATGAGAAAATTTTCCTATCTACAGCAGGTAAAAATTATCCATCAAAAAGAAAGCTAGCACTTGAAAAGAAAAGAGATTTTCTTGTCTTATTATTTCAGAGTGCTTCAAAAATGTGAATTGGTAAGTATGTACAAGGTACAATGGGTAAAATTCTGAAAAGTACAACTCTAGACAGCAATACACACCTTAATTTCTAGAGAACAGTATGTTCACAAAATTGTTTCCCATTGTACCAAAAACTAGCAATAATTTCACCACATAAAAAACAGAGGAACAGATTCAAAAGAAGTAGAACCGTTCTATTTTGAAATTTTAAAATTACTACTTTTCTCTTCTTTTTTTTTTAATTAAAATATAAGTGAAAAGGAGAGGAGGATTAAACAGATGAAGAATTTTAAGGAAAAACCTGATGCATTTTTTTCACATTATGTGAAATACTTCGGGTCAAACCAAAGGGTTTGTACAGTTTTGCAGGTAGGAAGAATATGGAATACATTCAGCATTTTGATCACAGCAACAAAAAAGAAAAATCCATTATTTACATGTCTAATTGCAAAAAGACTCTGGTCCAACCTTCTGCCCTACAGGAATCCACTAAAGATAAAGGAAGACCAGAGAGAAATGCACAGTGTTCTTCCCCTGGCAGTAGAAGATACTAAAAACCTCTGCCACAAGCCTGCCAACCTGCTTTCCCAGGGAATTAAGGAACTTGACAACCAAGCAGAATTCAGGATGTTACAGTAAGAAGTTTTCATGCCTGAAGCATGGCATACACCAGAGCCCACCTCTTATTTTAGAATTAAATATGCACTTCTACATTTGAAGCCTGCTTTTGAAGACATTATTCTCTATATCACCTTCTATTTCATGTGTGCAGCCCCTCTGACATCTTTGTTCTTGCAGGGGTGTTATGTTTTTAGGGGAGCATCACCTTGCTTCCTATCATGACATTTGTATACTTACTGTTATAGTAAAGTTTACTGATCACAATAATCCTCTATAATTATCTGCATTCATTCTGCAAGGCATCTTTTCTTTAAATGTTTAGCCATCCTTTCCATGTCTTAAGACCACTTTGATTGCCATCACTGTCTTCCCCTAAGTCCTGGGGGTGGAATCACAGCTCACTGGATGAAAAATCTTGCTCAAAGTAAATAAAGTGGACCTCTATTTAAGCAAGGAGAGACTTCTGTAAGCAGATGCATCATCAGGCTCT